CCAACCCCGCGCGGTCTACCTCGGCAATATCGTCGACGAGACCTACACCGGTATCTACCACGTCAACGTTTCGTTCCACTTCTACTTCGACCCGCCGCCGGTACCGCCGCCTCCGGAGGCGGCGGCGGAGGTCCCAGCCTTCGTCTCCCCCGCGGATCTCATCGTCCCGATATCAAAAACCCTACCTTTAAACGATGGATTGTGGTTTCAGATCCAGAACTCAAGCGACATTCAGGGGAAGGAGATCTCGATACCGAGAAATGCGTACAGAGCTGTTCTTGAGGTCTTCGTCTCTTTCCATTCAAGCGATGAGTTCTGGTACACAAATCCTCCTAATTCCTACATCGCTGAGAACAATCTCACCTCTGTTCCCGGTAATGGAGCTTTCAGAGAGGTGACTGTGAGATTAGATCGGAAGTTGGTCGGAGCTATATGGCCCTTTACTGTAATTTACACGGGAGGAATAAATCCGCTTCTATGGAGACCAATCTCAGGCATCGGTTCATTCGATCTCCCTTCATATGACATCGAAATCACGCCATTTTTGGGAGAGATTTTGGATGGGAGGAATCATTTCTTCGGATTTCGGGTGACTGATTCTCTGAATGTTTGGTTTATTGATGCAAATTTGCATCTTTGGATTGATGGCAGGAGTTCTTCAACTGAAGGAAGCCTGATTGATTATAAAGCAGCTTCCTTTTCTCCTTCTTTGGTTGCAGAGTTTAAGAAACTTGACGGCCATTTTCACACAGTGGCGAGCAGGAGGATTTCTTCAACCGGATGGGTGAAATCGTCTTATGGAAAGATAACCACACATTTCTTCCAGGATTTTAATTTCACTAATAAAATGAAGTTTGCAGGAAATGGAAGTATTCAGGAAGTGAGACAGAGGATAGATTATAATCATGGAAGTTATGCAAAATATCCATCTTCAGCACTGTATTCTGAGCAAGTTTTTCAGAATTTTCCTCTTTATTTGTACACAAGGACAAAAGATCAGGTTAATGATAGTTACAGTTTGATCACAAATATTACATTGGGGTTCAATGAGAAAAAGTTTTCAGGAGAAAGTTTTGGTTTTTCTTTCAGTAATTTGAGCAATTCACAGACTGGTTATGGAGTTATGCATGTGAAGGGAAATCTGTTTACTGGTAGTGTGGCGAAGACTGAACAGGTTTACAGATATGAAGGAACGGGTGGCTGTTATTATAGAAATGTTGGGAGTAAGAATTACACTATTTTATATGATAAATCTGGAGATAATTGTAAAAGCAGTTCGGAATTTGGCCCTTGAGGATATTTTTTAAAATTTGCAGAATTGTTGGAATGAATAATAACACTGAGAAGCTTCAGTGAGTGAATCTGAAAGAGTTTGGCTTGTCATTCAGCTCAATTGAACTTTTATGTACTTAATCACTTACTTTCACATCAGTGTGGTATTTCGATATACATAACCGCTGAATTCTTACTGGTCCGTTCGCAAGGACGTCACTCGCTACTCCTCCCTCTTCTCCAAGCCCCAAACCCTCGCGGTCTACCTCGGCAATATCGTCGACGAGACCTACACCGGTATCTACCACGTCAACGTTTCGTTCCACTTCTACTTCGACCCGCCGCCGGTACCGCCGCCTCCGGAGGCGGCGGCGGAGGTCCCAGCCTTCGTCTCCCCCGCGGATCTCATCGTCCCGATATCAAAAACCCTACCTTTAAACGATGGATTGTGGTTTCAGATCCAGAACTCAAGCGACATTCAGGGGAAGGAGATCTCGATACCGAGAAATGCGTACAGAGCTGTTCTTGAGGTCTTCGTCTCTTTCCATTCAAGCGATGAGTTCTGGTACACAAATCCTCCTAATTCCTACATCGCTGAGAACAATCTCACCTCTGTTCCCGGTAATGGAGCTTTCAGAGAGGTGACTGTGAGATTAGATCGGAAGTTGGTCGGAGCTATATGGCCCTTTACTGTAATTTACACGGGAGGAATAAATCCGCTTCTATGGAGACCAATCTCAGGCATCGGTTCATTCGATCTCCCTTCATATGACATCGAAATCACGCCATTTTTGGGAGAGATTTTGGATGGGAGGAATCATTTCTTCGGATTTCGGGTGACTGATTCTCTGAATGTTTGGTTTATTGATGCAAATTTGCATCTTTGGATTGATGGCAGGAGTTCTTCAACTGAAGGAAGCCTGATTGATTATAAAGCAGCTTCCTTTTCTCCTTCTTTGGTTGCAGAGTTTAAGAAACTTGACGGCCATTTTCACACAGTGGCGAGCAGGAGGATTTCTTCAACCGGATGGGTGAAATCGTCTTATGGAAAGATAACCACACATTTCTTCCAGGATTTTAATTTCACTAATAAAATGAAGTTTGCAGGAAATGGAAGTATTCAGGAAGTGAGACAGAGGATAGATTATAATCATGAAAGTTATGCAAAATATTCATCTTCCCATCTTCAGCACTGTATTCTGAGCAAGTTTTTCAGAATTTTCCTCTTTATTTGTACACAAGGACAAAAGATCAGGTTAATGATAGTTACAGTTTGATCACAAATATTACATTGGGGTTCAATGAGAAAAAGTTTTCAGGAGAAAGTTTTGGTTTTTCTTTCAGTAATTTGAGCAATTCACAGACTGGTTATGGAGTTATGCATGTGAAGGGAAATCTGTTTACTGGTAGTGTGGCGAAGACTGAACAGGTTTACAGATATGAAGGAACGGGTGGCTGTTATTATAGAAATGTTGGGAGTAAGAATTACACTATTTTATATGATAAATCTGGAGATAATTGTAAAAGCAGTTCGGAATTTGGCCCTTGAGGATATTTTTTAAAATTTGCAGAATTGTTGGAATGAATAATAACACTGAGAAGCTTCAGTGAGTGAATCTGAAAGAGTTTGTGTTTGGCTTGTAATTCAGCTCAATTGAACTTCTATGTACTTAATCACTTACTTTCACATGTGGTATTTCGATATACATAACCGCTGAATTCTTATGTATTTTAAATGTCACACCTAAACTTTACTTTTTACATTTATATCACCCAAACCTTTCATATCGCATTGGAAAATACTACTATTTTAACATTTAAAATGTGAAATTTAATTTTTTTCATGCATGGGTAAGGTGATTAAAAACTAAAGTTTCGGTGTTAAATATATTGATACATAAGAATTGAGTGGCGCGAATGTAAATCTTCCTTCAATAAAAGAGGCCTATTTTCATTTATTATTTACTAAATCATTCAAAAAATCATTTCTAGAAAGATATGTTTCTTATTGTTGTGAGTCCCTCCCAAGTGAAGCCACTTTTGGGAAAACCGAATTTTGGTTCTCTTCTATGTCAGGTAAATAAAAAATAAAAAATAAACAAAAAAAAAATACATCGCCTTCGTTACCGATCTGTGGCGATACAATCAGGATTAGAGCTTGTTGTAGATGCAACGAAGGAATCACGGCATCCAAAGGCCTCTGAGACTCAGATCTTTCCCCTTCTTCTCAGCTCCTTATAGAAAACTTTGAGGAAGAGTGGTGGCAGCATGAAAGGCATCTGAATGAAGAAGAAAGAAGAAAATTTTGTGCTTCTTGTCTTCTTGTGCTTCTTGTCAAGCAATTTTCTTTCTTTTTTTTTTTTAAATTAAAAAATTTTAGCATCTCATTTGTGGTAAT